TTTTACAACGTCGTTGCCAAGCGACGAAAACCCAACCCCGATGGCAAATTTCTCAGGTGGGGGGGGTGTAATCATAGTCGTGCATGCCGTAGTCGTTAGACCATTGACCTCGCATCCCTACAAAGCCGGGACGGAGCACGCCGGGTTCTCACCGGACCAGGCTCTCACATCACCAAGCGCGAAAGCGCCGTGAGGTATTCGGCGAGTCGCATGAAGGGTGCGCTGCATGCTGCTAAGGGTGTTCGGTGTTCGGTGCGTGGTGGGCAAATAGCAGCACGTGTGCCACGACTCTCACGTCGCCCCCCCTTCACGTCAGCTACATTTTGGAAACCGCTTGGGGCTCTACGCGTCTTCAGAATGGCTTCCAAAATCTGCGCACTGCGTTTCGTCGGAAGTAACTCTCGTACAGCTAGCTCTCCCCCGCCTTTGGGTATCAGCCTGAACCTTTCGCTGGCAAATTTTAGTTGGGAGCTTCTCTTGACTAGTTCATACCCTACGGAATGGCCTCCATTAAGAGCTTATGTTTGCCGAGTGTGCACCGTAGAGACACCATATGGTGATCGGGATCCTGGCCAAGATAAATCGATGGCGAAAAAATTCAACTACTTGTTGGTCAGGCCAGGGGTAAGCACGACGCCCAAAACAATTATGTTCGGGGGAAACTAGGAAGAGTGGTAGATTACCACGGGGTAGAGATGATATACGGAAAATGAGGAACGCTCAAGAGATTCGCCGGAAGTATCGATAGGAGGTATGAGTATCTGAATGACCCAGATGGAATACACACATGGGGCCTGCACGTGTGAGAATGGAGAAAGATAGAACGTATTTGCAGGCGGAGTGGTGGGCGGACGGCGAAGAGTATTCGAAGCCTCAGCCTCGCCCATGCCCGTTTCTTTTAGTTGAGGACTTTGAAGAATTCAGGGGAGAAGAGGCCGTCCGCCAGAAAGACATGTGAGCAACAGAGATGAATGCGTCATGTCGACATTTGGTCAAGTCCATCAAGCACTACTTTGGGACACATCCCGCGTGACTATCTGACGCACCGCCAGAGCCATCTGCTCTGTTTCAAGCTCATCCTTGGGTCATACAAGTCTCGTTGTTTTGTTGGGCAGAGGATCACGATTGGGTTAAGATGTTGGATTACCTCGTGCTTTCCGCAGTGATACTTGGTTTTGGTGGATATTTTGTCACAGGTTTGAACATCCGTCGTCGAGGGGCTCGCGACAACCGAACCTTACCCAATCTAGTTGGATTTCCACGTAGTGTTGACGCGGATTGGGTATAGCACATATTGTTCATAGATATTTGAGATTTGGGAATCAACAAATTCCTGAAGGCTTACCGGGTTCAGATGACGTGAACCTGTACATAGATGAACACGCGATTCGCCGAGTCGCTATGGTCCAAATACCGAAGGGGCGACGTAACGTTGTACCTAAGCAACGGTTTGTATGCGCTTTGGACGCCCCCCCTTTACCTTGTGACCTCTCGTTTGGGCTTGCATTCGTTTCGGTGTAAGGCAGAGTAGAGTGATTCTTGGCCACGAAAGTGTCGTTTTGGAGGTATGTCCGGGGGGAGTGTTATACAGCGACTTTTGTTTACCATATGCCATAGCCCCATACAGCCGGATTGAAGTCCTTTTACGCATGTGGTTTGTGCAAACTTCTCATCGCGGTTGATCTTGCAATATTCCGCGTGATAACGTGGGGATCAGGGGCAAGATAATTTGAAATGGATGGTCGCTACAAAGCGGTGAGAACATGTCCGCCACACTACAGTAGGAACGTAGCATAGGAACTACGTGGTTCCCGCATAATCCCTCAGCGGGACAAGATAGTAATTCCCAGGTCAAGCTGTGCAAACAATGAGCACACGTGTGTTTTTGTCGTGTGTTTGTTTCGGGGGAACTAACTGCCTGTGCCTCGTCTCGAAGAGGGACACCTGTGGGTTAGTCGTGAGACGACGTTGGGCAATAATATCCAAGTAATCCTGCCCCGGCCCTTCCGTTCTGCCTCGCTATTGCGCGCTCCTCCCCCACATACGAACCCCCAAACCCTGCTTGCTCTCCAGGAGAAAATTCTCCGGGAGAAAGTGATCGTGAACGCAAACAGGGTGGATTTCCCGCCAAAGCCCGTGGTGTCGGAGGAGGCCAAGTCGTTCATCCGGTCGTGTCTCACCTATACGCACGCAACTCGCCCAGATGTGCATGCGATGTGTAACCTGCCGTACCTTACTACTCCGGCGGCGAGGCGTGGAGGTTGATGTTGGGAAGTTCGGGAACTCAGATAAAGCTGCTACAGTAGAGCTTGAAGCAGCATCGGCGGTCGGTGCTGGAACTAACGACCGACTTTGATGGTGGGTTCTCGCTTTCGAGGGTGTGGTGTACTTAGTTTGCCCTCAACTCCCTCCCAGCATTACGCTTGTTCAGCTTGAGTGTCCGAAGGGAGTTGGAAAGCAAGGTGTCGTGTCGTTTGATACCAGGAAGGAATAACATTGCCGTTGCAATGGGTCCACATCCGTTCTATGCATACATGTAAACAGATTGGGCTAATGGACGCCCGAGAAATGTTACACTGTATTTATCATTTTTTTTCGAGCAGGCTGCAACACCCGTTCGTGCTAGTTGATTTGTTTTAGGCGCGGCATCCCGTCCTAAATATCCTGGATAACTTGTCATGTTGAGTAGGTAATGAGGTTCAGTAATAACATGACTGACCTCCTCCCTCGTGGATTGGCCTTTTGACGGAGTTTCGGTCCGTTCATCCGGTTAGTCGTACACACACGCAAGGAAGAAAAAGGAGACTCCTAAACAGAAGCCAAATCAATCAAATCATTGACACAGGTAGGTGTCAACTGCAAAACCCGTGCGTGCTATGTATAATCATCGTCTTCGTTCGCTGGACCAAGCCGAGACAAAATTGAAGTAGCAAATTGTACCCCGTGGGTGGCAAGTGTATTTTCTGCTTGTAGATGTGTAGAGTAGAGGCGGGTATGAAAGGCCACTTAAGCCACCCCCTGTGCTCAGAGCTTGTTCTTGAGCAAGAAACCGAATTTCGATGACATTGTGGTATCGAGCGATAGGTGAGATCACCCCCCGCCTACCTGAAAAAAAAAGGAAAAAAAATCGTCAACAGTGACGACGTAGGGCTGGAGCCGTACACCTGAGCTGCAGGCGTCATTTTGAGAGAAGAAAATTACCCCTAGGGGTATTAAAGGCCACGTTCATCATTGGTTGATTTCGTACGTTTGAAAGCGTTTCAAGTCCCAAGATTTGGTGGGCATGCGTAAAATACAAAAGGAATGAAGAAATTGTAAGAAAAAACAAAAACGATCTACATCCAGGGATGAACATGACGTATCCCCGTGTTTTCGACACCATGAGTAGGGATGTTTTTTTTTCCCTCCGTGACCTGTGTTGCGTGCTCTGTGCGTTCGAAACGAGGCCGAACAACCAATTTGATGCATAAATGTGTAATTCCAGTCAGTAGACGACTCGAGGAAAAAAAACACGGCGAAATGAGTTGTCTACGTAAAATGGTGCTTGGTCAAATATGGGTACTTTTTCCTGCTTTAGCATGCCGCAACAACGGTAGGAATTCACGCCGAACACCGCCAAACTGTATCAATCAAACATTGAGGAATACTCATGACATTCCCCACGACACAACCTTTGGAGGGGATTTTTAAACATGAGTGAGAAACATGTTCAGAACAAAAAAAAACACCCCGGGGACAGAACCACCGCGTCCTCGGATTTTCGATCTAAACCCGTGCATCCTTCCCCCCCCCGGTACTGGAACGCACGAACGTCACCATCAAATAGGGTGCGAACCACACGACGTTCTACAGGGTATGGTTCGACTGTACGCATAATTCCACGCCCATTGGAGCACACCTGATGATATATTAAAGGTCAATCAATAAGGATACTTTTTTTCTGATTCTAGGCTTGCCGCTACGGTAAGAATTACCGCCGAAAACAACTGTAGTTTGAAAACACCTTTGCACCCCCGCGACCAGCGCTTCTGAGGGAACCTGTAAGCATGTGAAAAACATCTATCGCAAAACACACACACACACACACACACAGGTCACCCGGGTTCAAAACCTGTGCATCCTGCCCCCCCGGTGCTGGCACGCCCTAAAATCACCGTCGCATAGCCTACGAACCACATACACACGACGTTCTACAGGGTGCATATCGACTGCTGGTACAACTTCATGACCATTTGGGCGTGTTCGATTCAAATCTGAACCTGTCAGGACACGTGAGAAATATCCATATGGCTACACGTCGACAACGGGTGTCGGCATCCGTTGTCGTCCGACCCTGAACACGGAGGGCGCTGGTTGACGTTCCGACAAAGCGTCCCTTCTGCTCCAGCCACCCGGCCGCCCCCCCCCCCCCCCCCCCCCCCCCCCCCCCCCCCCCCCCCCCCCCCCCCCCCCCCCCCCCCCCCCCCCCCCCCCCCCCCCCCC